ACGCAACCGAGAGGAAAAATAAAAAGCTTGCCATCTTCATGGATTGCCATCTTCATGGATTTCACTGAGGCACTTGCACTCAAAGGCAAACTCCTGGCAGCTTGTGACTATGTTAAAGTTTTTCAGTTTATATATTAAAATTTTCCTTTTCCTCAATTGAGGGAAAAGTGACAGTAGAACATAAACACTTAAATGATAAAACCTTTATCCATTATTAGTATCTTACAACCCAAGTCTATCACCCTGCTTGTTGGACTAGATCTCCAGAGGTCCCTTCCAACTGTAACCATTCTGTGATTAAGCCCATGGAAGTGTTTACAACAAAACCTGGAGGTTGTTCTAAAGGAGCATTTCAAGGTAACTTTTCGAGGTAAGCTAAAACAAGTGATAGAAAGGAAGATGTACCATCCTTATGATAAAACGAAGCATTGGTTACAGTTCTTTGCTTGCTCTAAAGAAGCAAGTCATGCTGCAGCCTAACACACGGCTTGGCACAACTGAGATAGTACTGGTCCTTTTCAAGAAGCTGATAAGGGGGCCTAAAACTTAAGCTACTGAAGATGGGTTATCCCAGTGGGCTGCATCCCCTGGGATTCTTCTCTGGGTGGGGGGAGGAGAGAGGAGAACCTCCCCGACCTTCCTCCCACCCCACCCCCAGCCAAGGATAAAGCAACAACTGTGGTTTTGATATGACACATCAGAAGCAAGTTCCAAAAGGCCTCTGCAGCACCTCTGCAGCAGGTAGAAAGTCTCCTGGCCAGACTCTCCAATGAAGCTGATGGTCCAGAATAGACAGGCAGCCCCAGGAATCTCTCCCTAACTGGCTCCTCAATATAACTTCCTCCATTCCATGCATACAGCTACACAGAGACCCTGCCTAGGAAGCATTAACACTCGCAGGGAGTGATACTTGGTCTGGACAAGGATGCAGGGGCTAGCTGCTTTAACAGGTTTGACTCATTCACAGTAAGGGTTCCTCTAGAGTGGGTGCAACACACAGAAACACACAGTGGGAGAGATGAGCGATGCAGATTTTAACAATAAAACCGAACATGAACTAAGAAAAGCAAAACCTTCTCAGAAAGTCAAGGACATTTCTTTAAACATGGCAGTAACTTCCACTTGAAATTCCTTCCTACATTTCTTCATTCACACACAGTTGCTATCTGGTCTTCTACAGTTTCTCTCCCCACCAGGTCCCCTGCCATCTCAGGGCACTTGTGGGTAGACAGCCAGTGCTCCAGCCACCAGCATCTGCACCCTGCTCTACTCCTGCGTTGAGGAGGCTCCTGCCTTGAAGCTTCAGTCCCTGGAGCACATGCACACTTTGTAACCTGAAGCCCTTGCCTCAAGTTCTTAAAATACTCTGCCAGAGTCTGGTTAGTCAGTGTTGTTGCATATAGAAAAGCCTCACAAGCCTGATGCTGTAAAAGCATATCTTGCATCCTCCTGCACTATAACACTCTTACCTAATCATTAAAAAATAAACACAAGCATATATTTGTGCTACAGTTCTTCCTCCCAAGGCCATACTATTCTCAACCACTCTAATCTGCTTGCATAACTAAAATTAAAACACCACCTTCTTTCAGGACATACGCTACTTAACCACTAAGCCACTAATTGGCTTTTTAAACCACTAGTATCTTTTTCACAACTCCACCTGTGGAAACCTTCACCTTCCTGCTTTGCTGCATTCCCCTCTGCCCCTCCTCTACATCCTAGAATCGTATTCTCCCCAGATGCCTCATTCAGCTGCAGTCTGTTCTACTACTTTCCTACAAATCTCAACTTGTTTCTAGGCCTTGTGTACGCTTGAAGAGTCTCTAGACAGCTCTGTTCTATTTCCTTCAAAATATTCTACTTCCATCTAAAGCAGGAAAACTTCACCTGTTGTATGAGTGGCAGATATTTCTCTACGGAAATGGAAGCAGAGCAAAATGCAAAGTTGCTTAAATTGTAAACTCTTTAAAATCACAAAACATAATTTTATTCTTTTTCTGGTGCATGATTTTGAGTGCCTAAGGGTGTCTCTGACATGAAATGTGTCAGACACCATGTAGATCTTTTCCTCAGGACGTGGAAAACTTTCCTCCAGGCTAAAAGAATAGCAGCAGCTCCCGGATTTCTAGTTACGGTTCTGCATACATGTCAGCCCTGCTGTGTTTCTCTCCTGTCCTTAGGTTGAAAACTCAAGACATCCTCCAATAGAGGTGCTTATCTCACTTTGCAGAAAGGCAACATTTTTCAAACCAGCAATGCTTCTCCCTTTAAAGACAAAGGACAAGATATGCATCAAAAGCAACAGCAATGTTTCTTTCTGCTCTCAAAGAGGAAACAAAGACCTTCCCTACTGAAATGAGATGACTGGTTAGACATAGCATGCCGAGTCTGCAGGATTTAAAGAAGCTCTTTTGATACCCTATTGTTCAATTCTTTGGGTTCTGCTCCCCTTAGAATGCTTCTCTCACCACACCAAGCAAATAAGCGCACCTATCCTTGCATTCATTGCATTGACCCTATAGAGAAGAAAACCACACTAGCACAGAAGCATCTCCATCTAGCACCAGGCAGGCTGAGGTATGCAAACCACAAATGAACACCTCCACGACCTCTGAAGGTTAAGCAGTCTTTCCTCAGCACTGGAACTCCCAAAGTTCCCTTGCTTCTTCCCTCATAAAAGGATCACTGTCCGAGGCAGGACCAATAAGTTCATTTTATTCTACAACAGTTCAGTAACAAGCCCCTTTAACCCAGTCCACCTAGCACATCCTACAGCTCATCTGAGCAGTCTCATACCTAATGGAGTATGTCAAATCCCTTCAAAGACGTCAGACCTGGAAGCAAGCAATTCACAAGTCCCAACTCCAACACAACACACTGCAAAAGCAGAGACTCACTTGCCTTGGGAGATCCCTGCTTACAGAGGAAGAGAAACATTCTCCAGAGGTTTTGTCCATTAAAAAGCAAAAGGGTTTTTAGATGCAGATTTTCATACACGGATAAGGTGCAAACTCTTGATAATGCCATAATACTGTCACTGGGTTCCAATAACTCTAATGAAGGTATAAGCACTTCTGAACTTGTTGCTGAAGTGCCTCCCAGTGTCCTACACTCACTCTTGAGTATCAGCATGCTTGATATCAGCAGTGTTTTCAGCCGTCTTCACCTAGACACAAATTGCTGGGTTTGACAGCAGGGAACACCACAGGGCCCTGATTTGGAGGCCCAAACAGATTCAGCCACAAAAGCTGAAGACTTGACTACCTACAGTATCTTGCCCTCTTCCTGGTTTCCGCCTCATCAGCCATGTAAGCACGCTGAGGAGGTTTATCTATTCCACAGCTTTACATACTACACACCGCCTATTCCAGTGGTATTGCAGTAACAGCTCAGGGTGAAATTTGCCACAGTTCAGGAGCAAACATACCTCTTGTTCAGTCTTCTCCACTGCAGGGTCAAGTAATAGCTGGCAGCACAAACAGGAGGTGATAATTGCTTGTGCCGCCATAGTTAAACGTAACAGCTTGGAGAATCAATCAGGGGAAGGACTACACAGATGAAGGGGACCAGCTCCAACAAGTGGGGAAAAACAACTCAAATATTCAACATGTCCTAAAAATGTAATGCTTCAGCTGCTACGGTAACCAATTTAGGACTCAAAAGGGAAGAGAAGTAGGGAGGGAATGGTCAAATAGTGCAAGGTACAGCAAACTTTCTTCTCTTTCAGTGGCAGGACTTTTCCCAAGAGACCAGGAACAAACCCAAACTTTGAAAGCCTCTCCAAATAACGGGCTCAAGCAGAGAGAAAAAGGACTTGGTGACAGGAGTAAGCTACATAAGTAAAGACAGACAAATCTGTCTTCAGTCTAGCAGACAGCAGACTTCAAGGGATGCCTCAGTACGGTCACGTGCCAGAACCTGAATTGAAGCGCGCAAAAATACTTTCTGTTAAAGAGGACTGAACTGCGCCATTTGCTCCCCTCCTGCTTTCTTCTGTAATGAATCTCCTACCAGTTTCCATCTTTCATATTTAGCCAGAGAGGCTAGCTAGACCACTGAATTATTGAGCAGCATGTTTTCCTGCTAGCAACTGTAGCCAAGAACTGAAGGTATTTCAATACTAGGCATCTCTGTGACTAAAATCTCACTAGGAGTAAGACTGAGACATTAGACAAAAGTTTATGAATCAGAGGATTCCATCAGCTCTTTTCTTCTATCTCACTCTGTAGACCAAAACTTGGTACGCAGCAAGATTCTGCCCCACACACCTTCAAATACTTCATTACAAATGCATTCCTGTCCCTCTGCTCCACAAAAAAGGAAGAACAGTTCAGAGTAAGCAGGTCAAATTTCAGTGTTCAGTAAAGATTTACACAAAATCTTAACTGTATAGAAGAGATGCAGAGAGCCAAATATGCTTCCCAATTCCTCCCAAAATTATACACCTCCATAACACACATATAGGAAAGGTTTAAGACTTTTTCTGAGCACAGGAAATGAAAAGCAGAGTATCTAACACAATATATCTAGTCATGCTACTTAAACCAGCAAACTCCTCTGACGTGATGTTCACCTTTCTTGATTTAAAGGAAACAAGTTCTTTTTGCTTGCCCTTGCTGTCCTCCCAGCACTGTCAGGCAGCCTCTCAAAACTCTCAGCAGGAGTATCTCTTTCTCTTTCTGTTTTAATGTAGTATTTATTCTGCCTGGTTTTCCTCGAGTCATTTAGAAGGTAAGCACTACAGGAGGTACAAAAATCCCTTCAAGCACAGTGAAACAAATGAAGTTGATCTCCCGCTCTCCCTCAAATGGAAAAGGGAGGCATCTTTCCCCAAATAAAGGGGGCAAAATGGGGATAAGATGCAACACAGAGACTTATCTTAGCCTGTCCAATACTGCCAAAGTAGAACTGGGAATCCTGGTTCATAGCCACTTATATTAACCGGTAATCCCCCCACTCATTTCTCATAGTACTGCAGTGAAGATGAATCTACTCACATGCAGGTCCTTTGGATTTGCTGAGCCAACCTAAAAGGACAGACAAAAGGCAAATTTAGGATTCCTATTAGGCATGCTTTAATTCCTCCCTTCCTCCCCATTAAAACTGGTTAAAATTAAACAAGTTGTGTAGCTGAGACTCCAATTATTTCCTTTAAGCTAGCTGCTTAAATAGTGCTGCCCGGAATAGTAATAATAGTATGTCTGTTATTTGAGCATCTGCTTCCTAGCCACCTTTGCCATCTGGTCATTATTGTGTTACTCTCCACCATGCTCCTCTGTACCACCTGGCTTTTACTAAACTCTCCAAAGGGACTGGGAAGGAGGAATTATACCCCATACCGCTTCCGTATCTCCATGGAGAACCACATACTTCTTCGGGCTGACTTGCTAATTTCTTCAAATCAAGACTTATATGAAGCAAGTTGGTTATAACCAAGAGCCTCTGTTCATGCATGGCACCGGCCCACACTTCTATCTGGCCTACAGTCCCTGTTTTCATGGCCATTGAATTCATCCCTAGCTGTATAAACTCCTTCCTTTCAACCATATAATTAGAGACAAAGGAAACCTCTGCTTTGTACAGATTCCCAAAGAATAGCAGCAATTCTGAATCTGCTCAATGACTAGATCAGGCTCATACAAGCTGTTCTGTGTAATGCAAACAAACAGCAGCAGCATCCAAGAGTTTCTGTGCAAAGTAACCTTGGGTCTTTTTAGTACAGCAAGCAGCAGATTGGTTGCATTTGTGTCAGAGACAACACATGGGAATGGAGTTGTTTCAGTTTATTCAAACTCAATTTATCATTTTAATGGCAATCCTAAAAATGAAAGAGCTAGCTTTATAGCATTTCACATGTGATCAGTCAACAAAAATAGGTTGCATTTAAATCAAAGTGGACTTGGATTCACCAGGCCTGCATTATTAAAGTTTAATATTTTAACTCTTTGCTTTAGGAATATTGGTATTTGCTTACTTCAGAATGTTTACAAGACTACTTTTACTAACACTTTTCACCTGCATGCCTCAAGATCAGAGTATGGTATTATCAATAATGAAAGGTTCAGCCTACGTTTTGATAGATCTCTGACAGAGCTGGTTATGAATGCAAGAGAGATTGCATCATTTGGGACACATTTGACAGGAAGCTTTTAAATATTTTTGAGACTACCTCTTAAAATTAAAAACAACAACAACAACAACATTCTGATCCTCTGTCACCCTTCCAAAAATAGCCTGGCCAGATAAGATGACTGCAGTAAACGGAAGAGAAACACAGGGCTTTGGAGAGCTTGGGAATAACCCTAAGGCCAAAGGAGGGAGGGAGGAAACCACAGCAACAAAGGAAGGATAGAGGAGCGTTATGCATAGAAAAGCAGACAAAACGGTTGTTACTACTCCAATGCTTTGACAAGTCCCCGCTGCTAGCTACACAGCACCCTGGCTCTTAACTACATTTCAGATGAACTCTCAAAAGGAAACACAGGAGATGGAACAAGAACTAAGCGGAGTGTCTTCTTTCCTGCTCATTCTTCTGTTACTTCCACTAAGCAACTTTTCATGTTCATCTCGTGGCACTCCAGGATATTTGGAGAGACTGTTTGAGACAAAGCGCTCAAGACTTTTCTTAAAAATCCATACATAAATAAAATCCATTTAAAACCAAAGCAGAGACCAGATGATTGCTGACGGGAAATGAGCTTGCCCTGTGCATTTACCACATGGCAAGGAGAACATGATCTTACCCAGACTGTGAATACATATCTAAACCTGTGGGAACTGAGGCAATAGCATTTCTAAAGAGTAAAATGATTGCAATACAATATACATTATGTGGTCTTAACATATGAATCACAAGCTCTGCTTTCTCCCTCTGAGCAGCGCCAACGTATTGTTTCCATGCTTGTCTGTCTTTTTATGAGAACATTCTTTAGCTTTTGTAGCAATTGTGAACGTGCCACATTGGCCCTGCATTCAACATAAGCATGACCATCAGGAGGTTTAATATAATCTCTTGCTTCATGTTAACATCTCTTTGTCCTGCCTGCTCCGAATGTTTTTGCTATGTAAACTAATGAGGATGGTGGGGTGATGGGGGAAAAGATGAGGGAAAGATGATTTTCCAAGCACCTCCCTAGTATTCTTTGTTTATCCATCTGGCTCTTCACTCCTCAGCTGACTTGCTCATTAGTGTTACTCACGGCTGGCATGCTGCTGCAGGTGCAGCTCTCCTGGGCCCATGACACATCAAATGAGCACCCCCATCCCTCCCAGCAATTGGCAGCTCCTGCCTCCCAACCTCAAAGAACACATACATGGAAGCACCCCTCTCCCAGCCTTTCTCCTCCTCCAGGATTTTTTCCCCCGTATGTCTTGCTGTCTGCTATCATCTGGGGTTCCCCTCCACATATGCCGACTTCCTCACTTCCCCTGCAGGAAATATTTCATGCCTAGCCACTATAATCCCATTTAGCTGATGATCTGCCTTGATCAGTTAGTTTACCACAGCTGGTTTCAGGTCCTAGAGCAATACAGAAAGGGAAACAATGCAGAACCACCCTGGGGTCTTCTGATAAGCTTAACTAGTGCCTTTGTTAGTGTGACTAGATGCTTCAAAAATAATACTAGAAAGGCTTGCCAGCATTGTGGGTGCCAATCCACACTCAGCAGCCCTGTGCAGCACAAGGTATTTGCATACAGATTGCAGTCTCCACTGAAGGTGCTGCTGTGTATGTACTTGGCGTTCCAGTGATGGTGCATTCCAGCCCCAGATTGCAAAGCATATCTGACAGACCTCTATCTGAAGTGACAATGCGGCAATAGTACCAACGACAGTAAGGCTGGAAAAAACAAGGACAGTCCAAATTCAAAAGAGACCTTGTCCTTTTCCTACTCTTACTATCTGTTCATGCCAATCTGTCACCCCCTTCTTGCGTCTCCCTGGCCCTTCATTACTTATAAGGCCAAAGCCAGGCCAGGAAGACATGCAAGCCCAGGATATCCAATTTCAGGAGCCTCTCCCTTCCAACTCAAAGGATCAGAAATACTAAAAGGAGATCAAGTACGCCAGCAGCTTCCAGCACCAGCAGACTTTTCTGCACAAAATCACCTTGCTTTAAGCAGTGTGCATCTGGCAACTAACATTTATACTACCCTACCACACAGAGGCCAATTCAAGCTTCACTGAAGCAGAGGAGCATTGGTCACTTGACATTTTCAGGTGCCATCATTCTTCAAATAAATAGGGCTTTTTAAAGCTACATTGAGAGCGGAGGTTTTGCTTTCAAAGGGAAGCTATTGCTTTACACTGTGATAATTGCTGAAATCAAACAGATGTACCTTTTGGGGAGTAACCTCCTTTACAGCTCTGTGCAAGAGCACACATTTAAAGCACACATACAAAATTATTCCCTTCATCCCATACCACTTATGGTTAGGCACCTCTGCAAACAAAAACTATATCATGGCGAGTCCGAGAGAAAAGATCACATTTTATCGTATATTGGGTAAACATGCACACACTTACATAATGAACTCCCTTGTGACTATCTGGTATGTTTTCTTCTTCCACTCAGTTCTAAAAGGCATCTCTCACCTCTACTGTTACTTAACATTTTACACATCATCCCATTGCGCTATTTACATTATTCACCACACTTGTCCACCAGGGAAAAAAAAAAAATTAAGTTAGAGAGGGAAAGGGGAAAACCCAAGCTGCAAAGAGGATTTAATAGAGGAGCGCAGTTAGTGGGTGCTGAAGTGTCAGAAGATAGCACACAAGGAAATACTGAACAGACTCATCAGCTGCGGGAAGAGCTAATACAGTCGGTGCTTCTAACAATACTTCTTCAAGTGAGCAATTGGTACACGGCATACAGATCAGTGTCTGCATGAGAATCTCACTCAACCAAAACGTGGTCCATACTCTTAAGACAAGTCCAAACGTCCTCAGCTGCAGTGAAGATGTAAGAAGGGAGAAAAAAGGCTGGGAGAATCGTAACGACAGGGTAAAGGAGAAGCACTCTTATATCGCTAACATAAAGAATAGTTCAGTCCAGATACTTAACCAGGAGCAGTGGGATTTCTTTCCTGTGGGTACTGAAGGATGCATACAAATGCATTACCCATCTCCATTTTCCCCATAGAAACTTAAGGCTACCTCTATACTTATACACCTCCCCCTCCCTGCAGCATAGGCAAAGGTTTCACTTACCTGTGGCCTGTGCTTCCACAATAAAGGTACCAAAGATAACTAGCAGAACAAATAACCCATGGCTCGTCAAGGCAAGAGACGATCCTGTGTTGCTCTTTGGTGCTACCATTCCATGGCACATCTTTTACCCACTCAAGTTTCTTTCTTTTAAAAAAATCCCCGAAAGATCTGGTTGATTAGGAGCACTTCAGTCTACAAAAGAAAGGACACAGAAGGAAACAGCAAGTGTTAAACCATACATCTGCTATATCCAGGGGGAGGAAATGGGAAATTCAGAAACAAACAAAAACAACCTTTGGCTTATTCTAGCATTTTGGAATCTTACTAAACAAGTATCCACAGTTCACAAGGAGCAGAAAAGGCAATCTTCTGCATAGGAAATCTTAAAAGGAGCTGTGTTACAGAGTGACCAGAACTTTTCACTCACTCTTCTAATATTTCAGGTCTAAAGACTGCCTAGCTTTTATAACTTTATATCTTCCTTTCAAGACAACCCCAGGAAATGTAGCATCTAGAGGATTTGTTTCAAAATCATTTCAAGAGAGCCAGCCTTCCCACTCACCCACCACCTTTCAGAAGGTCTCCAAGACACAGAAGACTACTAGAGAGCTATGATAAATAAATCAAATGCTTCCTCAGCCACCCGGAAAGGCACAGCAAATCTGACAGTCAGCCGGCAGTAGGTAAACACACACTTAAGAGGAGGAACGTGAAACAGCTTGCAAACCTCAGGTATAATGTTCTGACAGTGCAGAGCATAGCAATTAAAATTGCAGGATGTGACACTATTCATACCTGAGGATTGAGAGATTCAGCCATAGCCTATCAATCAGACGTTGTCACACTGAAAACACATCAGTGCACAAACATAGCTCAGCAGCAAAGTGCACTTGGGAAATCATGAAAGCACAGGTTGAACCCCTATTTTTAATGAAGAAAAAGACTGGGCAGAATGTAAGTTCCATTGACTTTGTACGATTTTAGGCTGCAAGACCTACAGCGGTGAATTTGGATCTGGATGAATTACAATATCATGCACGAGTCCCAAGCTCCTGAAAGAACGTCAGGACTAAGGATCTATGTGTACCTGTGTTCCACAGGAAGAAGAAAACGGGTATAAGGTATGGGTATATAAGGTGTGTGTATCTATAAGAGATATAACTGTTCAGTGATACAGTCAAAGTACATGGAGAGGCACTTCAGCACTCTTGCTATAACGCTATTCCTTACGCAAACACTTAAAAGTTTTCAGGAAAAAAAGAATTAATTTGGGGAAAAATAATGTTTTCTTACACTTGCCCACAGGAATACTTTCAATCTGGGGGAACCCCATTCAGCCTATTTCTTCCGTTAAATGGATATTTATACTGGAGGAGGATTCTTTTGGCCAGGTCTCCTAGGGAAATTCAAAACTGTTGGACAATTTCAAATAAATCTGAGAGATATGTAGAGGTAGGTATCATACTCTTTCACATGCTGTGAGAATAGACTTGATTACTACTCCTGCGAGGGAAGGCAGTATGATATTAAGATACTTAGCCACTCCTGAGATGAAGTCAGCACCCCAGCAGTGAACAGACAAACACACAACTCAAACTGCCACAACTCACGTTGCCCGTTGCTTAGGCCAAAAAAAAAAAAAAAAAGTATCTGCATTTCTCCTGCCTTACGGGAGGGGATTGGTGGATTTGTCATTAAACCTGGAAGTCTCTTTGTAAACAAAGTCTTTGTAAACAAAGACTTCTCTAATTCCATGTTACCATTTTGCTCATATTTAACTCAAAAGAGGGCTAATCTTTAAAATTTGGATCTTTCAAGTCAGTTAGTCTCTATCAAAGAAGAATCATTCTGACTGTATGTGTCTGTGCATGCATGCGCATGCATGACGTGCACACACAGAGACACACTCTAGAACTTCAGTTTGTGGTCTGTAACGTCTATTAGATTAAGATGTTATGCAAACAAATCACAGGAAACCTTGCTAGGAACTGAATGTCATGGCTGAATTTTTCTTCTGTAGAAATAGGATAAAAATAGAGACTAAGTAATAGACTTTAAAAGTAGAATCAAAACTCTTATCAAGCATCACTTTAAACGATGTGCTAGAGCAGTGAGCAAACTTTGAGCTAGACATTTCAAGATGACATTTAAACTGACATGTGATAAGTCTGGAGCTGAGGCTACAATAGGCTCTGTTTGTGTCTGCCCCTTTAGTTTCTAGCTTAATTTGGAGCGGTAGGGAGAGAAGTGAAGCTGCCCTATTCTACACTTGCAGCACAAAAGACATTTTCTCTCATGTGTTCCAGGGATGAGGGTACAATGGTTTGTTCAAATTCAGTCCTCCTACCATGCAGAAAGGATTAAGGATGTTGCCACTTACCTGCCACAATTCCTTCAGCAACAATTAGACCAAGGAACAAAAAAATGTTTCTCTGAAGAAAACTAAGATATAAAGAGCCAGCTAGTCTGTACATTCACCTCCCTCCGCTCAAGTCAGATCTCCTGCATGGATTTCAAGCTCATATTCAGTGGGAAAAGGTCAGCATCTCTGAGCCAAGAGCTGGCCTCTTTCTTCTAGGAGGCACTGCTCTGTGCTTAATTACAGGTCTCAGAATGCAGTGTCTTAAGCAAATGACCCTCCTGATTGCATCAAGACAGGTCTGCCCTCCTCATCCCAATTTAATGAAGCCTTATTAACGTAACAAACTCTGCAAGTCTTGAAAACGTGTATTTTAAAGAAGGCCATCCCTGACTTTGGGAATAGCGTCTACTGGATGACTTCTACTAGCGGACAGAACAAAAAGTAGGGAAAATGACATGCAAGTATCACAGAATTCGCTGGGACATCTGAGGTGTACTATGTAGCTCTCGAGGCACTTTCCTCTCCCAAAGACTGCACGTGGAAGTTAGCAGTCTAACTGAACTACAACCAGCTTAGAGACACCTAAAGCAGAAATATCCTCTGGGGGAATAAATTATTGTCTATTCTTGATTCATTCATGGATTGCTTCAAAGCACAGTGCTGTTTGTCTCCTTTCTTCCAAGGTCAGGCATGGCTTCCTCATTGCTTTTCAGCCACCAAGTCACGAGTCCCAGGTTATCAGGAATCTTGTCGGTCAGAGATGCAGGGCTGCCCCACAAGGAATGCCTTAAGTTGATGCTGCGATGCCTACAGTAACACCCCACCAAGTTGATTTCGTTCATTGAGGGATTTGAAAGAGACACAAAGGCAGCACAACAATTTTGTGGAAGATAGCACTGATAAACTCTTCAGAATTGTTAAAAAGAAACAATGGGCACAGGTACAGCCTGTGAGAATCCTCCCTCAGGCTTCAGGCAAGTTATAAAACTAGTTCCCAGCCTTGTCTTTTCATTGGCACAATTAGAAAATCAAAGAGATTCTGACTAGATATAAAGGTATCCTTCCTTCCCAGAGGGGAGCTGGTGGCTGGGAAGCTATTTAGACAGTCATTCAATTCTCTGAGAGCTGGCTGTTGTTTTAGCACATTCCTTATACCTACAGCTCAATGGGAAACAGCTTTCATAATAACTTTTCAAGCTTTTGCCTCCAGAGGATGACTTGCAACACCCAAATAGTTAGCTAAGGACCTGTAGCGCTGTAGGGTAGGTATTTTCTCCCAACAACAATAGCAACCCACTGTTATACAGACATGGCTACCCTCAACTATATGCTGCACGCTCCAAAATTATCCCCTTTCTTGCCCCACCACCTATCCCAGCGCATCTGAACCACAGCTTGGAGCAAGTCTTGCTATCTGGTCTCACAACTGCCATAAAAACAAAGAACTAAAGCTTGCTAGACTGACAAGCCTTATCTCAGGATAGGGCTTGGTGTGCTTTAGAGAGAAGACAAAAGCTAATAAGGAGAAGAAAAGTTGTTAGCCTGTTTTAGCTTTGCCAGCACACGCTGCAGAGCACACACATCTATCAACATAGAAATGCTCTCAGGGAGATAGCTTAATAAATCATACTTACGTAAATCAAAGTGAATTCCCTGTTTATACACAGCACTAAGGAACAGGCTGGCTTCTTTAATGGGAGAAGCAAGGCAGAAGCCTACCATAGCATGAGTGTAGAGGGTTAGAAGACTTCAGAACTATTTCACATGCCACAGCCCAGGCTAAAGGTTTATGGGAGAACAAAGTTTAAACAGAGATGTTCTCAGAGATGATATTCAGTGCAGCCAGTAGTTCTCATAAATACAGTAGGGAGAGGAAAGGAGGCTACAGTGCTTCAACCAATAGAGTGTTTTATTTTTTATAACGCACACTGAGAAATACCTACTAAAAATGGATCAGAACAACAGCTGTCTGTGGCCTCCAAGTCAACAGCTACACACCCTCTTAGAGAACGCTATGAATAAGGGAAAAAAATACCCATTGCTTCCTGGTTACAATCATCACGGGCTCTTTCACACCTCGTGGAACAAACATTGGAACCTGACACGAAGCAACCTCCCCAGTGACACTTCGGCATTAGACCCTCTCTTTGCATTTCCAGCCCAGTTCTCACAACAAAGAGCCAGCTGTTCTGACAAAGCAGTAGTTCACTTCTACATGAACTCCCTGGAACAGGCATTAACTTCCACTGAAATCATGCAGGCCAGACTTCCCACTCAAACTATAATCAGCCCTTTCCAACAAAGATGACGCACACATATACAGCAGAAGCTCTGCTAAGCCAAGTTGTTTGGGGACCTCTGCCGTTTCTCTTCTAGACCTTCAGAAACTGCCAATTCCTACTCCTTACTCCAAAACGGTCATCTGCCTTGGTAAGTAGCATGCATTTTCCTAGGACTATGATTAATTTTCTCATCTCATTTCACCATGGTAGCAGTCCTACGTCCCTGTGGAAAAGCGTTCTTTGAAAGGCCATATGCTCAGGACATATGAAAAGAACCAGATTTGGGTAGTTCTGGCGCACTGAGGACATGAGATGTGGGGGGGAGACAGTTTGAGGCACTCCAGCTGCTCAAGATGCCTGGCAAGGATATGTCCTGTGCCACTGTTGCTGGAAAACAGGTCTTCAACCTGGGTTCTTCAGCATTTGTTTAGGGAAGTGTTTAGTATGCCTGGAATGCTACTGGCTTGCTTTTAAATACCACATTTGAAACTTGCCAAAGAAAATGAGTTATCCTCAACCACATCAGAAATCTCTATTTTAACCACTTA